CTTATATTTTTTTGGCACCATAGGAATCTGAAATCACGTAAATTATAATTACTTCCTAATAATAATGGCATGCATTTAAATAAACTGATATACCTTAACATAAACCATAGTATATCGCAAAATTTTAAGATGATGACTTATAGAACACGGAATGGTGCCTGGGGTGACTGTCTCGATCACGTCTCACTTTTATCTTTATTTTATCTATTATTATTATTATTATCATTATTGATACATACTCAGTAGGAGAAGGGAGGGTGTAGAGTTAGCCTTAGAATTCAAATAAGTTTGTATAAGAGAATATTCCTTAGTTTAATATTGCTAAGATTAAAGACCACATTGTAATATGTTCCCTGTTTATTTCAAATTATTATAATTTAAAGGAAATTAGATGAAATTTGGAGTTATGTTCGTAAAGATGGATTCCAGATGACGTCACGTTTACATTTTTCACTACTGCGCAGAAGCTGGCAGGCAAGATCAGAAATGGTATAAATCTAAGCTTACACTCACAGATCCGTACATGCTCCAAGAAGAATGGAAAAACGATGTTACTTTGAAGCCTGATATCACCTGGCCTGATGATTACAATTATTTGATAAATATGCCAAGCTCTTTCTCGAATGAATTGCTTTAAGCATACAAGTCTCTGGAAGCCTACATTTTTTTTCATCTGTGGACATGTTCAAGACCTTTTTTACCATGGAATCGACAAGAGCAGTAATTTCTGTTTCTTTAAGTCTGAGGTACAGTATTTTTTTTTTTTTTTTGTTTTGTTTTAGTTTATCAAAACTTTACCAACAGCAATTCATTTATTCAGAACAGTTTTTTTTTGCACATTATTTGTTTTACTCACATTTTTGAGAGGGTAACTTTCAGGGAGACGACTTGATCAAGTAGTGACACAAAATTGAACTGGAAGTAACTTAATTCTGAAGTTTTCATTCGCTCTTGCATAGGGGAATGTCTTTTACTTACCTGATATAAAATGAGCACTGCAAATGCGTGCGTTGTCAATTTTCTTTGAGCTCCAGTTCTCACGTCTGATGGCAACTATCCATTTTTTTCTTTAAGCAAGGGACTATTCATTGTTTCTAGTTGGAATCCATTAAAAATCAAATTTCCACCTGGTTTTCTTCGATTCGTACAACCAACGGCACAGCACGAGTCGGCATTGTTTGTGGTCTGCCAGAGTGAATCTTGCCTGCCAGCAATTGCGCATGCGCAAATTTCAACGCTCAAAATGTAAACATGGAATCCATCTATGATCGATGTATCTTCTGCACACACTCAAGAGAAGAATAAATTCAAGCCATTCCATGAGCCTTGTTAAGACTATGAAGTCAGTGCTTCTCACACTGACTCTTTAAGTAAACCAGAATGAAGGGTTTTCTCAACGATTCATTCCAACAATTTTGGAATGAATCGGGTAAAATTCAAGGCCATGTCGAAGGACAGTAATTTACAAAGAATGATGCACTTGTTTGTATTCTAAATTCTTCCCCGACAAATTGAGACAAACGAATTGGAGTCGAAGCAGCGTAGAGCCTCGTACGAGCAACGACGAAGAATAAAGGGCCAAGCCTAGCTTCATCTCCTTTGTTGTGTGAAGA